AAGTTGGGAAAATCTAGGAAAGTGGTAGGTAGCATGGAAAGGGGGGGATCGTTTATTTTGAGATAGAATTAGGGGTCCAGATTTTTCAGGAAATGATCACGATGGTGTGCCTGTCCGCGAACTGCCGTAACCACTAGTCTAGTGTGTGGAAAAACGTTGACGCCTAACAGGACGAGTACATTTTACACTGGGGCTGGATGATCGCTCCAAGGCATGTGGAGCTCATCGCGAGGCTGCCGGTTTCATGAATAGTGGGAGCCGTATTAATACTAATGATGAGGAACAAGGGAGTTGAAGCTTCAAGTCAAACAGATTCACATTCTTTTAGCCGCTGATCGGCAAGAGAATTTCATGACGCTTGGATAACATATGATTCAGGGGGTGGGGGTAGGCAACTGACAGCATCGTAGGGAAAGTTGGTTCACTCCTACTACCATACTTTTCTAGGGAAATATGTCCCATTTCCTTCGGCAAAACGCTGAGGGTTATTCCCCTCTCTCTATCCATTGAGCAATCCACATTCAAGGTCCATAAGCCCTGGTCAAGTGCACACAGAAGCAAATACAGTAAGGCGCAGTTTGTCGACGGGGGGGGGGGCATTTTGCTTTCCATAGATGTGTCGACCCATCTAGGCAGCCGTTTCTCGAGTTGACACGTTTTAGGATAGTGGCTAGACGCTTACTTCAGCTTTTCAACGGGAAAGTTTTACGCAGGGTGTTCGTAAGTTTTACCAGAGTGAGATTTGCAAATGGAAATAGGGAAGTCATGATAGTTAAACTGCCCCCCCCGTCGACAAACAGCGCCTGGAGTTACTCTTAGGGTGAGCGCATTGAGCCTCCCGGCCTTTAAAGAGGAGTACTGATTTCTCAAAAAAAATTTATACTACTTATATTGACTTAAAGTAAAGGGAAGCAAATCCTTTAGGTATAAGTATGGAAAACGCGAATAGTCCTTTTATTGCGCTGAAGTGGAGCACCACGTGAAACCGTTCGCTTGAGAGTGATCTTCCAAATATCTGTCCTATTGACAGCGCCACTCACTCAGCTCTAAGCTTAGACCCTTGTTTTTTGTGGGCTCTGTGCTAGAATTATAGGCGGAAAGTGGATAAGCGTGCACAACTACAATGCTGTTTTGCAGTATGACTAAGTAAGAGTTTCAGAATGCTAAGAGCGCCGCAGTGGAGATGGGCAAGCTCAGCTATCAATGATTCGAGGGTTCTAAGACACGTGCTAGCTCACGTGAAGTAACCTCTTCGATCGAAACTTTCAAAAAGATTCAGCAAATAGTCGAAGAATCATCCTCCCTCCTTCGCGGCGTATTAACGAGACTTGGGGCAATGTAAGGGGAGGGAGCGGGAGAGGGGGGGGGCAAGGGGCAAAAAAAGACACTCTGCCGAGTCATATATCCAGTAAAGTCATATCGCAGGCCCAGACAGAAAGACCGTGGCTGGATGCGAGTACGGGGAGGAAGAACCAAGAAGTTCCTCCGATAGAGCAGCGAGCAGCTTCTCCGCCAATTCACCATTCATGTACACCAAAATAGACGTCACCTTCCAGTCGCAGCCTTGAACTGGCGAGACCTTTGAATTTCACTGTCCACCTCCATTTAGCTGGCGAAACTTCTTGAGTGCGTCAACCCATTGGAATGGACATGCGACTTGGAGAGCCGGCACTCTCGATTCAGCAAGACCTCAAACATCGAGCAGCTCCGACAACACGTACGGTCCAGCGATATCATCTTTCAGCCGGCATAAGTCGCCAAGGCGCGGGTTGGTGGTATGGAGCGGAAGTCTCTGGAATGGGAAACCTGACATTATCTTCGTGGACCTAGGAGCGCTGACGGTTACATCGACCAACTCGAGGAGAATATCCTGCTTCACTGTCGTCGCCTGTGCCATCTGAAAACTGCTACAGGATGGTCTAGCGCATGGAGAGAAACTCTTATATCACCACCTGCTCTAACCCACCTCGATCACGGGGTTCGGAAGGAGTCCAACAGGGTGGTCTACAGTGGTGGAGAAACCAATGACCTCCTGACGCAGGCACTCCCGAAATCACGGTCCGCGTGGCAGATATCTCTCGGATGGCGTTCGTCTAGAAGCTGTGCGTGGACTAAACCTGGTAAGTGTATGCAATGTGTTCTTGAATTCAGTGGTGAGAAGTGCCCAATCGAAACTGATAAACGCGAAATCATACTGCGCCTTGAAAGTAAGATGGAAAAGTGTTTCTCCTTGCCCGCCCCCCCTCCCCGACCTGTATTTACAATCTTGTTCGCTGCAAATGTTCTTGGGCGCGTCAGATGGCTGTTTGGCGTGACGCCAGCCAGTTTTCCACCAGTTGTGGCTGCTTGCGCCGCTCCGTGGATAAGCAGATTGGAGGCCACGTACCAAGAACTGCAGGCCCGGTGGCGCTCCATCATTCCCGCAAATAAAACTCTACTTCCGCTGAATTTTTTTTCAAAACCTTCCGTTGGATTTTCAAAAATCGTCATGAGGAGTGTTGGGGGCTGAACCTTCACAGGGTAAGCAAGAGGGTGAGTATTAGTTAGCACATGGATCAGACCTTACACGAGCAGGAGCACGAGACAGCATGAAGATTTACGAACTGAGCAAATACCAAATCACTGTAACGAACAAAAATAAAATAAATTTTAACACTCACGTCGTATGCCCCGCCTTGGACCCGTTGGACGGTTGCTGAAGTAGGATTTGAGTGCACGAGGTGATTCCACACGCCGTGTGGGACGGTTAAACCATCAAGGGTGACCGAAAGAAGGCAGTCTTGATGGGTATGATGGTGCTACAGTGAATATTGATTCCCGCATGATTACAGAAGGTCATAAGGGGTCATATCGGCAGGTAACCCACAGCCCCGGCGCACCCGGTTTTCTGGAAGCGATCCTTGCGAACTGCTACAATGGTCTTGATGAACAGCGCGTACCACTGAGGGAACTGTTGAAGATAATGAGTGTTACGCAGCTGTTTCCTAGACGATTACTGGATTTCGACTAACTCTATAAAACCGAAGACAACGGTTAGGAGAACCGTATTGCGGCGGCCCGCAGAAACTAGCAGAGTATCCTCTACCTAATTCAATATACCGCAGCTCTTCTATCAAATGACAAGATTAGAGTGTTCTAGAGTTTTCCCTTATTTACTTCGATAAGTGTCGTCTGCAAAAGATAGAGTCCCGAATGTAACAGAAGAGTGAGGACGTGGAGCTTAACAACACGCACACACTCGCGCGAACTCTTCCGGGCTCACGTGGTTCCTTCACACTCGAGCGCCCGTTTCAGCGACAATTATAATACAAGAACGGTTTGCCGGCCTCATACACAGGAGATACTGTTCTAGGCCTTGCTACCTTGATGAGGCTCTATACTGGCACATAGCGCCACAGTCAGTAAATCTTCAACAATGTCGAAAAGCTTTTATCATATAGATGACCTATCACTCATTTCCTTCTCCGTCGCAAGGCGAAGAATAAACGGGAATGACAGAGTTTTGACAGTATGCTCTACTGCGCCTAGAGGTAATTATTGACTCACGTATGTCTACCTGCGACTCTAAGCGACAAACCATCAATGTTATGAAGGACTGGTACGGTTTGAAACCCCGAAATTCTCGGTATTCTGCGCTTGAGCGTATCATATAATGTCTATCACTAGGATACAATATTTCCTTCCCTGCTTCTTCATCCTCAAAAGTTCCACGGGTCTTAGGAAAATTTACTTAGTTCCTCCATCCTCGTCCACCCGCAACACACACCTTGGCCCCGCCACGGCAACAAGAGTGTCCACCTCTGCGTAGGCGGTAACGATTACATGGCAAGCCTCACTTCGGCGTTGCTCGTGAAAGCATCAAATGGGTACTAACTGGAAATTTTCAGGCCCTCATACCGCAGACCTTGCATCATACTACGTACTGAAACGTCGGCTCACTGCACCAGTTCGCCAGCCCAAACACGGATTTTTACAGTGTTTCCCGAAGCAAGGCCTGATAGTTAACAAGAACTAACACAGAACTAGCGAGAGCGCCAAACCCCCTGCCCCCTTTCAGGCCAACACGCCTGGAAAACGAGTCATAACGCTGCCGCGCGTGGTGCCATAGTCCTGCGAGTCGCCGCAGCTCCCATCTCCTGACCCGCACCTTCCTATGCGCTATTCAGAGAGAAATCACATGTGGACAGGTAGACATAAACGAAAAAATGACCAGATGGTCGACCTAGGGTAGGCTCTCTGGGATACGCCACCTACCCGTTGGGCTCTGTTTTCCTGTCCCCATCGAGCGCTGCCAGTGCCTCTCCATAGACCTGTAAATCCCTGTAAAGCAACAGCAGTGCTTCAATTACGTTTTACAAGAGTTTACAAGTCTCACGAAGGTGTGACGCGTAATTTGATAGAAATTAACAAAAGAAACTAGCGAGTGCAAAATGTCCCTCCCAAGCCACAGCGCCTAGGAGCTACTGGAACAAAGACAAACCACAGCAGTGCCAAAATATAGTTATTCCGCTTAGCCAAAGCCGTCCGCGGTCTAGCTGTAGCTTCGCCTCATTCGTTTTACACTTTTATCTACAATTTCGTCAAGTTTTTTTTTGTTTTAGTTGAGCAAACATGAAGCTTTACATTTTCTTTATTAAATTTATAGAACGTAACACAACATGCAACAACTAAAACTATTCTTAGACAAATTCAATTTAAAACCGTTGATACAATACAACAGATAGAGCGATAAGGAAAAAATTTTGAAACAGCTTCCCACAAACTACCAATTAAGACTCCGTATTTCACTGCTCGTTCCATTACAAGTTGTAATTGAAAGGTTTAAGCTTAAGTTAATATTTGTACGGGCATGGGGGAAAACTTTTATTTTTTTACTGTTATTTCGGGTTGGTAAAAAAAGCAGCAGAGAACAAAGCTGGAATAGCACATTTAAAAGCTTTAACAAACTATGCATTGCGTTATGAAATGACGACTGCATTAATTTGTGAAATACGAACAGATTAGAGCTCGATCTTAATCATATGATAGTCTTCCCGTCCTTCTTCAGTGTTAATTGAAATGGAATTATGCTCCAGGGATGAGTTCACCACCAAGCCATGTTCTTCCATTTCAGCGGCATGAGCAGTGACGAACGCTAGTAGAGCGCTGTGATGCCGTGTAGGAATTAAACGGCATTTTTGGTCTGAAATGCTCAGAATAAGGCTAGGATAAGCTTAAAATTCTGGGAGACGGGCAAGAGAATCGTAATTTGCCGCTCCGCCGCGCGCGGCGATGGGCGCGGCGTTTTCTTAACTCGTGTTAACCTGTCGACTGGAGCACCGGACTTCATGTAGACCCCGTCATCGTAGACATTCATGACTATTTTCGGTTCTGAATTGCCTGTTGTCGCCATCTACTACCTGGAACCATCGTCATTTGCGGGCGCGACGTCGCACGCGACGCCCACCAGCGCGGCGAATCACGATTCTCTTGTCACATACCCCTGCCTGACGGACCTCTTCGTCGCGAGGAACCAGACTGCACCCTCATAAGGATTTTCACTGAGAAACACTCTTTAAGGCATAGTTTGGCAAGTGAGG